GTCAAGCATGCAATATCCATAGCAAAATCGCAGGTTACCGCACATACAACCTTTACACCATATACATTGGGCGACCGGTCGTGCGAAGGCACAATGATTTCACAGACTGAAGAAGCAGAGCGAGGCAGACAAGCCGAGGGCAGTGGCCGTGTTGTGAGGAATTGTACGTCGGTTCATTTCTTAAGGTATAAATTGATTAATTATACTTATGATAACGTTAGCTTCCGTATTATAGTCGTTGGCGCTAAAGTACAACCATGATTGGCACTAGACTAAATTAACAGGCCGTAGTTACTAGTAGTAGTCTAATACTAGTATTAATATTAGTACTAATACTAGTATTAATATAGTATTACTATTACTAGTAGTAGTACTACTACTACTAATACTAGTATTAATATAGTACTATTCAGTATTCTGCCAGGTCTTCATCACATGTCTCCTGTACGTCGCTCTGGTCAGTGGTCTGAAGTCTGAAGATAGTCATTACAGTTTGAATCTGCAGACTGCGCATCATGCGTGTTTCACCACTTGGTTGATTCTATCAACTAACTAGCTGTATAGTTAGGACGTTCAGGTATAGTTCACTAGTTAGCCCTTTCGCATCCTGGATTAGTTTAGCACTATGCGAAAATTCATTTTCGGGTCCAAAACTAGCCTTGAATTGATCCCCACTATCTATCAGTATCACATCAAGCCGACTTGATAATTGCCATTAGATCCCACTTAATTGTGTGATCAAAACATTTCATTGTACTCGTTGAGAACTCCATCGTCTGGGACTGATCGTTCCGGTATGCATTCTGTTTCGTTGTACTATCAGTTTCTGTCATTCCATAGTGGAATTATCTTCCTGCATCTAATTATCTATAATTAATTGTTGAATAGAAACCTTTTCCACTTCACAGTCTTCAATATGCAGTGTTTATATGTCAATTTGATCGGTGTTACATTGTTAGACACTGGTCATTTATGTTGTACTTGTAAGTGTATGATAATATGGACTACTTGGCAAATCCAGCCTGGGCAAGTATAGATGTAGGGAAAATCACCCTTCCTGTAAGGGAACGAATGTGTTTTTACCTCCGCGCAACGGAGTTGCAGTTTCTAGTAGTTCTAGCTTGTAGTAGTAGAATCGCTGAAATATTGATTGTTGCGCGCAAGCGAGCGAGCTGCTGCTGACTCGACGCCCTAAGGCGAGCTGGTGCTGAATCGATCGCTGCTGGCTCGCTGCTGGCTACACACACACACGAACACACACACGAACACATCACACAAGAGGCATCACATTACCTCCACGCAACTCCGTTGCGTGGAGGTAAAAACACATTCGTTCCCTTACAGGAAGGGTGATTTTCCCTACATCTATAGCGCGTCGAGTCAGCGAGTGGCGAGTCAGCAGCAGCCACCAGTGAGCGGCGAGGCAGCCAGCGCGATCTATAGCGCGTCGAGTCAGCGAGTGGCGAGTCAGCAGCAGCCACCAGTGAGCGGCGAGGCAGTGCAGCAGGCGAGTCAGTCAGCAGCCGCCACCAGCGAGCACATACATGTTACATGCTCGCGGAGGTATGCACTCTCCGTGAGTGCCCTCTGTCTAGTTCTTCATGCTATACCTAAATTATAGTTGAGGGGTGACTGGGTGAGAGTTCAATATTGTCAAAATTTAAAGGTTTACAGTGTTACAACTTGAGAAATTTTTAGCTCAGGAAACAACTGTACTACTACTAATCATTGCTCTCACAAGTTACTGTGACGTACCAGCATAGTGCTACAGAATGAAGAGCGGCAGGAATTTTTTTTTATAGGTTATTCTTCGAGGCGTTACCCATCTTTCCTGTTGGGGGTGGGTGGTGTATGTGAATTCAATTGCGCACTCTGATTATTAAAATCTGAAATCGTAGACGTATGCTGCTCACACTGGCTACAGGTGTAGAAGTGAGATGTGATTGAGAAAATTGGGACAAGTTTAACAGTAGTGACGGTTGTAACAGGGCATGGGGCTAGTTCTGGTCTTCTACTCTGAATTTTAATAAAAGAATCAAATTCGATTTTTGATGGGTTCCCATTAGAATAAGCCCAACTGATCCCCCCCCCCAAATGCCTTATCAAATTCCTTCATATAGGGTACCTCTGTTACAGAACCACAAGTGATGAAATGCAATCAAATATGGTTTTATGCAATGTATTTTAAATACCTTTAGGTTATATATATACATTCAATATGATTTGTCAGGATCAACAGGTTAGGATCAACAGTCATTAGGATCGTAGTCAGTGTGCAATGTGCAATACTAGCAATGTGATATTAATGCAAATATGGCAAGTACGGCACTTGTTGATTTCATATTGCACTAAAAGTTATCACAGGCAAATTTTCAAGTGGAGGAATAGGCCTAATCATGCAGGGTGTCCTCAGGTCTATTTACTATAGCTTTCACTAGGCTACAGTTATAGGCTGGCCACCTCTAGATGTTATATGATACCAGCACCATGTAAAATGCAAATTATATTTTGAATAACTGAAATGTCAATAACAGACATTTATATAAAGAAACAGCTCTGTTTGTTGTTCTGAGTCAGATTTTTAGAATCATTACCAATTGTTTGCATTACCAGACACTCATTAAAAATGTTGAAAATTATATTTGCTCTGATATATATTTATTAGGTAATCATAAATTAGGTAGTAATTTATAGTCATATTTGTTTGGTCGTTTGTCGTACATCGATTATTTTTGGCATATGACAACCGATTGTGAACTTTTGTGTGATTCCCGTCAATAAATACTGGGTTCATACAAGTCCTGGATACTTGATCTGGAAAAGCTTGTAATTTTAAAGTGACATTTTCTCTGTCAAGACATTTCTAGAAAATAATCCATGTTCCTGTAAAGTGCCAGAAAGTTAGCTATTGTTGTATTGTATCCTTGAATGAAAGTACTGAAAGTCTATCCCGACTATGAGGCAATAAAATTTTCTTCATGCAATAGTTTGTTGACTAATCACTGATTGGGCGATACAAGGCACAACGATTGTGTTCAGCTAAAATCTCACAGTCAGTAATGCTGAAGGGGTCGTTGTCGTATCAGGTACTACAGATATGTACCCGAAGTACATATATGTATACACAAAGTGTACCAGACTTGTACTACAGAAGTGTACCCTAACCCTAACCCTAACCCTAACCCTAACCCTAAAGTAAACATACCTTATATAAAAATATAAACATAATACTAAACAACCTAAAACTACCTCGGGTACATATATGTAGTACCTGATACGACAACGACCCCATCTGCGTCAGTAATGGATATCGTGAGTCGTGTAACTGTAAACGCCATGCAAAATGTTTTGCCTTGGGTGCACAAACCCTAAAACTAGTAATCATTCCAGTGTTGGCTTGAGGTCTTTGTGACTGCCATTCCTTGAACTTCGTTCTGTACATAGTACGCTAATGGTTCAAAATATAATGAGGGGTTGTGTTAGCTACTGCTGGGTCACTGCCAGTGGTCGTTATTCGAATGACTTTAAAATGAGACTGTAGGTTCAACGACTTGTCGTGGAACTACTAAACGACTTTGCTGAGATTTTCTTTATGTGTCACAGTCAACCCAGCTGGGAATATAGTCTGTACCTAGGCAAGTCGTGCATGTCCTTATCCTGCCAATACTATGATATTTAACGGAAACGTCTTTGTTTAGTTGTTTATTTAACTATCTGTTGTCTTGTTTGCTCCTTTAATTTATTGGTTAATTGATTATTTATTTATTCGTTTAGTCGTACCACTGGCTTGTGAGTAGTTTTTACTAGGATATGTATCATCAAGTAGTAACTACACAGAATTTCGAAATACACACATGGGATAGATGATGAAAGAAGTGTGTGGTGACTATTTGTGAATGGCTGGAGGTTGTACACATGCCAGTGTACCACCCCCGCATACCAGGTACAGGCAGTTAATGCAGGGCCGGCCACTCCCAAGATGAAATATTTCAGGGCCCCATTTTACAACACTTGTTAGCCGTAAGATTGCAGACTTGCAAGACTGCATGATAAAATCATCTAATAAACCGGTTGAATCGGGTTTCCTTCTTTGCGTCATTCCCTGGTTACACACACATTGCTCTCATGTAACGTACACTCATGTGGAAGAGATCTGCTTCCTTTACGATTTCACGCTCCATCATTCATGAATATAAGAGTGCCAGACAAAGAAATATGCTAAATGCACCAGACGTGCAAAACGTGCCAGACAAAAATAAACGAATACGTTCACACGTACGATGCAGTGTACCGCTTTCCTCGGAACGTTGTCGTGCTCAGTGTAAATGAATACCGCATTATCACTACATAGCTATATTTTCAAACAGTCACTGTGTATAAATATTCAGGTTTTGCAAATGTAACAATATCGCAAACCGTGTAGGATGGAAGGTTTCATTGCAGCAGCCGTACACTCCTACGCTACCACAGCCCCGGTGGACTATGTACATATGCTGTTAACACGGATCACGGCTCAAGCTATTTTTGAGGAACGTCAGCTGCCAGACTTATGGGGTGGGGCATGGTTCCGCAGCATGTGTCTGTGATACATACCACTCTGAGGCGCACAGCGTAATGCCATCCTGTGTGGCCTGAGCGTTTGGCGAGGGTAGGAAATCCACCGGGATGCTGCGCTGTATCATACATAAGCGATAGCCACGCTCGTGCAATCATCCAGAGCGTGGCGAGCCGATCGAGCAACGACTCGGTGGTGTGCTTGTGCAATCCTCGGTAACTCATCTTTGGTGGTTATATATATTTCGCTCTCTCTTTCACTGGTAAGCTCAAAAAAAGATAGTATAGCTTTATTTAATTAACATTAGGACTATGCAGTGTGAAGTGAGGACCACTAGTGGTCAGTGCTACCGGACTTAAATGGGATGTAAGAAGTTTTAGATCAAGTTTAGCAGGTTACTACTGGTATTAACGTTTAGATAAGCATTAATGTTAATTAAATTTTGGCTTCTACCCTTACAATGAACTGATTAAAAAAAAAAAATATTCAGTTTTATTTAAAATGTAAAATTAATCTATAACTATTTTATGTAAAATTTAGAATTTTCTCCCAAATTAACTATGAAACTTGTTCATGATCGGCAGTATCACTATTATGATCAATCTTAGGTACGTACATACTCTTGGAGGA